TCACAGTGTTTGCATGAGTCAGGAATCTTCCAACTTGCTGTTCCTTACTCTAACCACTTAGCCACTCTGCTCTGCAAAAACAGCAGAACAGGAGATGCAAAAAGCTGTTTTAGTGGATTTTTTCCCCGGTAAGATAAATATTTTGAACACTGTAACCTTGACCATGTTACAGACAGGGAAATTGAGGCAAGGGGAGGGAAAGTCAAACAGCAAGTCTATGGCTTTGTACAGAGTGGGATTTAAAGGTATAGTGTCAGCTAAAGTAAACCACATCTACACCAATTTTTACAACAAGGCGGTGTATATTTTAAACAGCTCAAACCACAAACCTCCAGTAATTTGATCTATTTAGTGTATGTTGAAGTGTACATTCTCTTCTCCACACTGGTAGCTAATGTGTGCTACCACCACACCTGTAAAATCTAAGGTGGGAAGAGCCAAGAGCAAAACACAGGTGCCCTAACAACTAGGCCTGTGTACTTTCAAATGTGCTACCAGCATAGCTATCAGTGAAGGAAGGTGATGTTAAAAAAAAACAAAAACAAACCACTATTCTGGGAAAAGCCCTAGTGTGGACCAGTGTTTCTTAAACTTTGAGATCACGGAACACCAAACAATTTTTTTTTTTAATGCGGAACACGTATGAAAATTTTCTTTAAAAAATTGTTGTCAGACCAAAAAAAAAAAAGACAAAAACAAAGTAACAAAAACAAAGATGAGGTCACGGCACACCTGCAAGTCGTTCACGGAACACCAGTGTTCCATGGAACATAGTTTAAGAACACTGGTGTAGACAATATTATATCAATACAGCTTATGCTGACATGAGCACATTCATACCAATACAACTGCATCCACAAACAGAGTAAAAAGCCTTTTTTAATACCCTTGTCTCCAGCTCTGACTACTAGACCAAACTGCTGCTTTTTCATTATTAAATGACTATGGCTTCATGGGTAGGCCCTGCAAATCTCATAGCTGTTCCTGAGCCATATTTTTTCCTCTCTGCCAACTAAAGGATTCCAAGATTTCTGCATTACGCCACACCTAGTTGACTTCTCTAGGAACATGCATTATAGCATCGACTTAAGAGCCAAGTCATCTTGCCGGACAACTTCTAAAGATCTTCAACTTCAAAGTTCTTCCCGCCCCACTTTACTCCTTTTGGGAGCTATAATTATGGCTGCTAAGACAGAAAGCAAAAAGGGATTCAGCAAAGCTTTGGAGGAGAGATGCCATTTATAAACCACCTTGTGCATCGAGAGCGCCTTTAATTTGCAGATTTACAAAAGTCTCACAAGCTTTATATGAGAGCTGGGGAATATTCCACCCCATTTAAGGATGGGGAAAGAGAAGCACAAAGTTACAGAAATCCAGGGATAAGCCTAAGTACAGAACCCAAATCCCAGTTCTTTTGCTCTCACCCAACGTTTCAGTTAAGACTGTTCTCTATCAGAGCACCTTCAATGCCATGCATGAAGCCCCATTTTCACTTGCTATTCAGCTAAGGGAAGAACTCTCATCACTGTGGTGTAGAGTTCTGCACACCCCAAATACACCCTTGTGTGAATACACCCTGGCTTGACAACCTATTCCAAAAGCACAGCACCTATTTCAAAACCCACCTCACTGGGGATTTCCCAAACACTGCATTTCTCACTTTCAACCTGCCCGATCTCATCAGGGTTTGCTTATCTAGCAAATCTTCAGTGATGTGATTTGTCACCCCTTAGTTTTCAGAACCAGGCACCCGATGTAGTACTAACCTGCTAGAAGGGAGCTCCGGACAGCAGAGGAGCCAGGCAGGGCCAGAGAGTGGGCTCAGGTTTCACATGGAGGAAAGGGGAGGGGGATGAGAGAAAGCCACACTGGTTAAACAAGCAGCAGCAACATGTTCTGCGCCCAGTGTGACATCATGAGGTCAGGACTCAGCAGGGACAGCTGCAGTGGGAGGGGAAGCTCAGCAAAACAAGCCCAGAACAACTCTGGCTCGTTGGGAGGCCGGCCCTGGCTAGGAGGCGGTCGGACCACGGTTTACCGCAGCAGCTACCCATCAGATGCACAAATCCTCCGCTGCCACCCCTTCTGCCTTGCCCCCAGCAACATCGACTAATCGTGGGAGGAGCTCCACCTCCCTCGCCATCTGCCAGGGCTGGGATCCAGCACGCACGGTGTCCATCCTGGCTCAGGCTGGCAGGTTCAACATCACGCACGCTGGACGTATGGGGGAGGGGAGAGAAACTCAGGTATTCCAGGTCTCTTGGCTTCTAATACAGTCAGGCAGCATTCACTGAAACAGGGGACAGCACCAGGAAAAGGGGGAAGACGGCGAGGAAAGGGAATTACAGCAACACACCACAGGAAGCCTGGATTCCATTCCCAGCTAGCTAGGGTTTTCCCATGCTGCCCTTCACCACAGCATCTGTGCACCTCCCGCCTCAAACCCACAGCAGTAATGAAGTCCCTAGTGGGTCTCATGGAATTCCCCCAGCTCTTCTCCTTTTTCAGGGTGACGGAAACCCCAGCTGGGTTTGGGATGGGGGCGTGTGCATGCTAGTTGATATGTTTGTGCCAAGTTTGTTGGAGGCGGGGGGATATAGGTGAGAGAGTGAGAATTGTATCATTCTTGCCAGGAGGAAAGGCTATATTCAAGAAGGTCAGGCAGTGTTTCCTCAGGACAGTCACTCTGGCTTCCCCGTGGTAGGTTAAACAACATAACACCTGTGATCTGTTCCCCAGCTCTGCAGGGCAACCTGGAGCAGGTCCCTTCACTTCAGTGCACCCCAGTTTCTCCATCTTTAAAATTTAAGCCTCACAGAGATTTAAAAAACAACAAACGGTCTGGTAGCACTTTACAGACTAACGAAACAGGTAGATGGTATCATGAGCTTTTGTGGGCACAGCCCACTTCTTCAGATGACTGGAGTTATGAGTTGGGGATAGGAAAACTCAGTATAAATAGGAGAGGGGAAGAAGAGGGGGGAAAAAGAAAAAGGGAGGGGGTGGGAGATAGAGCATCATTAAGATTTAAAGTGCTTTAAGATCCCCAGATAAAAGACCCTTTTATCTCCAGATAAAAGAGAAGGGTAAAGCAGTGTGTAACCCAGGGGAAAGAAACAGCTGGCAAACAAGACTAGCAGGGGCAGAAATACAGGAGAGAGAATTTGGAGTTAAAACCACAATCTCATGGCAAGATCTCAAGCTGAAAGGGTGGGTGGGCAAAAGAGCTGGGAGACAGACACTGTGTGAAGAGATTCCTAGCTGCCTTGCAGGAAAAACAACCATTAGCAGCATCCCCAAAGGTGTAAACTGACCCCTCCCCTGCCGATTCACCTTGATGGGCAGTATTAAACCTCAAGAGGCTAGTTAAAACCAAGGCATTGTTAAGCAACTCTAAGGCAAAGCAACTTAGCAAGTGTTCAAGGGGCTTTTATGAGCCATGATCTTTATGCCAAAGCTGGCTCTTCCTGGTTGATGAAAAACACACACACACACACAAAAGACCTGGAGTTCCCCTACTTTCAGGGTTAACCTGCAATTTCCTTTTTTTTTAAATTCAAACACTGAAGCCATTCTGAAGAGCTCTGTAAACTCAAAAGCTGAGCAAAGATATTATCTCCCTCAATTTGTCTCTCCTATATCCTGCCATCACCATCACCTATACCAGGGACAGTATTAACAGAGATACTTTACCAGCTTCAGGCCCCCCCCGCCGGAGAGCCTCCACCCTGAGAATGAAGAAATGGAGGCCTGGAGATGCAGCTCTGGAGACACAGGTAAATAGCAACAGTCAGAACAGACTCCAGGTGTCTTGACACTTCGGCCTGTGCTCCAATGAGTTTCTTGCACTCGCCTGGCCCAGCCAAGCTGGAAAGATATCGTGAGACCCTGCCGCCAACCGTGGTAAAGCAGAAAGGTGCAGCTCTTGCTGCTAATTCAATACAAAATCCATCATCAAACTGTCAGTGTAAAACACACTGAGCGCCTGCTCTGTGAGGCGTAACCTCCACAGGCCAAGGATGACTCTTCCTCTATTTCATGGGCTACAGCTAATCTAGGCTACCATTTCTGGTGAGGTGCAGAGATCTCCCCCGCACCAGCAAATGAAACAGACCTGGAGACACATTCTGAGCTTTCTAAGAAAAGCTCCCTCCCTGGGCTGAGACGGAAGGAGGAAGGGATCAACCTCAAAGGAGGTGGTTTAGGGCAGCACTCTCTGTATGCTGAGGGGACCTGTGTGGCAGGGCGAGGAGTCAGGCCCCTCTGAAAACTGACCACCCGGTTGTTTTCAAACTCGTCCGTGATCATGTGCAGAGTCACTTTATCTCCCTGGGGCCACGTCTTCCCAGCTGGAGGACTTGGATCTCCCAGAAAAGGGCCTGGGGTTTCATATTTTTAAGCACATGTTGGGAGTCCCAAAAGGAAGGCTTCAGTGCGGGCCCACGTGTGCCAATAGTAATAATTACAGTTGAGTGGGGGCTTCAAAGGACAAGTGGCAGAAAGTCTCCATCCCCAGGTGTTTCCAGAGGAGCATTTGGAGGCACAGGATCCAAGTCAGAGGCAAGGACCTTGCTACACTTCCTCTGACTCACTGGGCTTGCACAGAATGTAAGTGCACTTGGCTCCCAACAAAGCCTGGTCTTGCTCTGATTGTTTCCTGACATGGCCATGATTGGATTAAGTGAGCATCTCCCAGGGGGCAGTTTGTGAGGAATGCCCCCAGGCTGCACCTAAGTTGCTGGGGCACCTCCTCATGGATGGGATCAAGCCTCTGAGTGCTCCCCACAGCCCCAACTCCACAAACCCCCAGCATGTGCTGCTGCTATCTCACCACACACGGCATGGGCACATTCACCTCCTCTCTTTGGTAGTCCAACAAGCTCCAGTGTTGGTTCAGGAGCCTGTTCCTTCTTGGGTTTAAATCCCTCTGTGGATTATCACCAGCCAGCCACCCCGATGCACACTCTGCTCCTCCCAGCTTAGCTCGCCGCACAATCTACCTGTGTCAGGGAAAGCCTTCTCCTGTGCACCTCCTGTCATCTGAGAAGTGCCTCTCCATCTGTTTTCTCTGAGTTTCCGGCTCCTAACTGCTCCCCGATGCTCCAAATGCTGCGTAACTAGCCAAGGTTAACTGCTTTTTCCTTTTTGATGCCCAGCCTACCACCATACTACGCGTGATGGATTTTGGTGGGCATATTTCTTTCCCGACTGTCCACAGCATGCAGGCGCTCTCAGATCAGAAGCTGAATCTTCCTTGGGTAGAGAGGAGGACAGGTAAACATGCCTCCCCTCCTGTGCAGCTGCTCTAGTCA